AAAAAAAAATCTAGGTTCAAAACCCTGGTGAAAGTATTCTAATTGGGAGGATAGAATGAGACTAAGAACCTACTCAGTTTTGTCTACATATAAAAACTGTAATGGTATCATCATAATCATCGCCATCTTAGAATTGCAGAGCTAGATGGAACACTTTGGGCCTCAGCTGCAGCCCTTGGCAAGGAAACATTGTTAATTATAGTTAAAGTAAGACCACAGTATCCCCAGGGAATTGGTTCCAAGCCCCCCTGCAAATGCCAAAAATTATAGAAGTAGCAAACCCTATGTTTGCCATAGTCTCTGGTTCCTTCTAATGGCCAGTTCTGGTAATACACCTTGGAAACACATACCTGTATCCAGGTTTTATCATTTAATCTTTTCTGTCAGCAGATAAGTGAAACTATGGATAATGACCCTGTGGATACGGTGGTCCTATTCATACTAGTTCTTTTCACTATTTACAAGCTCTCACAAAGGGCTACTTAAATTATGACGTGAGACAGTCCCCCAATAGACTGGCTGCTTGAGGAGGGTTGTATCACATGTTTCTTTGTAGCATAACAAGCTTGCAGCATAAGAGCTGTCCTCCTAAGGGGGCAGAATGAACAGGCGATGTGTCCAAATAAGTGAATTAGCATATTTAAATTGTTACTATTGATTCAGTGCAGTGGTTAGGTTTTGTAAAGTTTGCTGCAGTGAGGCTTTGTTAACTGAAAAATGGGTTTAACTTTTTTAAAGGTTTTTTAAAAAAATAGCAAATGTCCTGCTGTGCTATCCAATGGCATTTTCTTTAAAAAAAATGATGATGATAATTGCTGTGGTCCTTCCAAAATATGGCAAAATTACCATCCCCTCCACACACACTAGAGGTCACATGAGGACTTTTTGAGCAGTGTAGACTCAACAGTAACTGCCAGTGGCTCTCCAGTTTTTCAGAGAAGAGTTTCTTAGTCCTAACTACAAAGTTGAAAGATTAGAATCTTCTGGGTATAAAACATGGGGTTCCCCACTGAGCTGTAGCTTCTTCGCCCATGCCAACTGTCTTCTGTTTCTTGAAATACTATTTCTTAATGTGTTCATTTTTAAGACATTTGCATATTTATTCTACAACTTGGCCATTTGTAAAGTATCAGTGATTACAACATGTATACGAGAATAGAAACTGTTTCTTGAATGCATCAGTTGTGAACATATAGTATGACAATCAAGCATGAGTGCTCCAAAATGAGTAAGAATGAGCCAACATTGTAAGTTCGTTGTAAGTATTCATGATGATTCTTTTCAGATTCAAGAAATCTGGATGGTGTATTCAGATACTTGGGAGACACTTAGGAAATGTTAGAATGTGTAGAGTTATACACAGAGCTAGGAAGAGTGTCCATGCTGGCGAGGAAATTCTGAGACCTGTAGCCCAAAAAGTAACTTTTCCAAGTTTTGGTGTATGTGGCCAAAAATGCTTCCTAGCCACTCCTCTGGAGCCATTCATCATCTACAAAAAAGGGCTGGCATTTGCACTTTTTTAAATGGTGAAGGCAAAAAATGTCTCACTGTCCTGGTAGGCAGTGGCTTACCATAACAGTTATGAAGTTCACAGAGGCTGATGTTCTTTTCACTGAGTGGATGTTTTCCCTTCACAACTTCTTAAAGTGGAAGCAAAAGGGAAGTAATCAGTAGCATTTTTCAATGAGGATGGGAAGGGAAACAAAGCTATTACTTGACAGAATGTCATTCACAAGAGCATGCATTAACACCCCCTCCACCCCCCTTAATCAATGGAATGGTGATGGGAACCTCACCAGAACTGATTTGAATTTGGAGCAGCAATTATAAGGAAAATGCCCTTTTCCATTGTTCTCCTGACGCCAGTGTGTGACTTCCCCTGACCTCTGAACCCTTACTAATGGCTCTGAATATCACTCAAATGATATGAACTGATTCAAACATGTCCCAAAAAGTATCACTTTACAACATAGCCGAGTAATTTTGTGTGCATCTGCATATGGCACAATGGTGCAAGAGGTGTTTGGGTTATGTGTTTCCGAACATCTGAATGAGTTCTAAAATGATAACAATGCTATTTGGAGTGGTAAGCATTGTCTGTTGAGAGTTATAGAAAATCAGAATAATTCTGTCCCACTTATATAATAGTATGGATTGTTCTACTTAACAGAAACATAAGGAAAATGGTTCCATCTGATTGTGTTCAACCCTTGGCCTGTCTAGCTCACCAGTATCTGTTCTGACCATCAGTAGCTGCCTGGAGTTTCAGCTGAAAGCCTTTCCTACCCCTACCTGGAAAAGCCGGGCATGTGTCCAAACTCTGAACCCATGATTTCTCTCATACAGACAAAACCCTGTGCTACAGTATATGACCCTTCTGAACAGTAATAGGTGTGGGCTATTAATATCTTTGTATAAATATATCTAAGCTGGGGATGAAATGAAAGATAGAAAGGTTAAGAGAGAAGCTTTGAGTGTATTTTGTCTCAGGTACAGATGAACAAATGGCTGCATTTAGTTATTGACTTAGCTGGTACAATTACAGTGGTGCCTCGCAAGACGAATGCCTCGTGGGATGAAAAACCTGCAAAGCAAATGGTTTTTGTCATCACTGTGGTGCCTCGCAAGATGGCTTCTTCTATGGCCATGCTTCGCAAGATGATTTCCTCCCCCCCAGACCAATGCCTCGCAAGACAAAAATATTTCATTTGTCTTGCGAGGGTCCCACAGGAATGCATTGCAGTGCATTCCTGCCTCGCGAGACAAAAATATTTCATTCGTCCTGCAAGGTTCCCATAGGAATGCATTGCAATGCATTCCTATGGGAAACCGCTTTTCACAAGATGAAAATTTCGCAAGACAGCGCTACTCGCGGAATGAATTACTTTCATCTTGCAAGGCACCACTGTACGTCTATGCATTTCTCCTGAAAGGTCTTTTTTTCAAGACATCTTGCGAGGCACCACTGTACGTCTATACATTTCTCCTGAAAGGTCTTTTTTTCAAGAGACAGCATTGTGCAATAGGCCCAGATCTGACAGCAGTCTTTTTCTAAAGGTGCCTATAGTAAAGACAAGTGGACCAAGTTACAATCACATCATCATTTTCCCTGCATAGATATTTCTAGGATTCCAAGCAATTTATGGTTATTGCTGCTTTGACTTCACTGTTATCACTGCTAATTGCATAGGGGGTCTTTTTCATCCTAGGAGTATGTTGTCAGAACAGTCATGTACATAGGTTCCAGCACAAAAGAAACTTGTGTCACCCCTGAAGGCTAACAAACTTGGTTATGGCATAAAACTTTTATGGATTCTATATAGCCTGCTTCATAGGATGCATGAAGTGTTATCTCAGTTCACAGGCATATGTGTACACTTACACATCTGGGGTAAGGTGTGAGGGTGGGATTGTGAACACTGAGGTTAGAGAGAAATAAGATGAGGCAAAGTAATTATTACTCATATTTTTGCAGTATTTTTTGCATTTTAGTTCCCTCGGGCTCCACTATTTATAATACAGTGGTGCCTCCACTTACAACCATAATCCATTCCAGAAAATAGATGTAACTCAAAATGGTTGTAAGTCAAAGCACGATTTCCCATAGGGATGCATTAAAATGCAATTAATCCGTTCCGGCTGAAGAAAAAAATCACCAACCCCCCCCCCCCAAAAAAACACTGCAAGACTCATTGGAAATGTGATTACTCCCTTCTAGCTGAAGGGGGGGGGAGAAAAGCAATCAAGCATGCAAGACCCATTGGAAATGCACAGAAAACAAATGGAGCAGATTGGAAATGCATAGAGAACAAAGGGGGCAGGTTGGAAATGCAAAGAAAATAAAGGAAAAAGCAAGGGAAGCATGCAGGACCCATCGGAAATGGGGAAAGAACTCCCAAAAAGCAACCAAACCGCCAATACCCATCAGAAATGGGAAAGCCAAAAAACAAACAAATCCCCGCAAGACCCATTGGAAATGGGGAAAAAACCCCAAAAGCAACCAAACTCCCAAGACCCATCAGAAATGGGGGAAGCCAAAAAACAAACAAATCCCCGCAAGACCCATTGGAAATGGGGGGAAAAAACCCAAAAGCATCCAACCCCCCCAAGACCCATCAGAAATGGGGGGAAAAAAAACTAAGACCCATCGGAAATGGGGGAAAACCCCAAAAAAGCAACCAAACCCTCCAAGACCCATTGGAAATGGGGGGAAAACAAAAAACCCCAACTCCCCCCAAGACCCATCACAGCACAGAAACATAATCCCCCAGCTCAAAACCACGCTGCAAAAACATCCAGAACATTTTTTAAAAAGCAGAAAACAGCACCTTACTTTACAAGGCAGCACGAAGCCTCCCTGCAAACACACACACTCACATTCTCAGAAGCAGAAGGAGGCAGTCGCAAGCCTCCAACAATGACGCACACTCTCTAACTGCTGGGGCAAAAGGGCTACAAAGAAGCAGCCTTGTCGCCACCTACAGTTAGCAATTTGAATTTCCCGCCTTTTCCCCCTGCCTTTTTCTGTTTGTAAGTGGAAGGTCTGGTCGCAAGTAGACTGGAGTAGAGCTGGTCGTAACTCAAAATGGTCGTAAGTAGATACGTTTGTAAGTCGAGGCACCACTGTACTAAGGACCTGTATATATGTATCTGCCAACTGAGGTAATGTAATGTGTATTTGACAAAGCAGACTGTCTGTTAAATTTCGCGGCTGGAGTAGAGCTGGTTGTAACTCGAAATGGTCGTAAGTAAATATGTTTGTAAGTCAAGGCACCACTGTACTAAGGACTTGTATATATGTATCTGCCAACTGAGGTAGTGGAATGTGTATTTGACAAAGCAGACTGTCTGTGAAAGCTTATGGCATGATAAAACATGGTAATATTTTTGGTGGTAGAAGATACTTTTAGGGCGTTTTGGCTGTTATTCTAGAAATTCTATATAGATTTGAGTTGGCTTGTTGTAAGTACTTCACCCCTGTTTCTCTTTACATTCACCAGGGTTGTCAACGTTACAAGCTGTTCTGGATACTGCAGCTGAAAAGAAATGGCAAGTCACTGCTATAAATGTCGGAAATATTAACAATGATAGAAAAGATGAGACATACCGCTCATTGTTTCAAGATTTGGAGTTGAAAAAGGAAAGGCAAGTAATTCTCGACTGTGAACGGGATAAAGTCAACGACATTGTAGACCAGGTTTGCTACTCTCCATTTTTCAATGTCTAACAATGTGAGCATATGTGAAATGTATCGATGAGCATTTGTTTATCTCCAGGATTAATTAATTAATTTATATTTATTCATGCTTGTGATTCTGTTACCAAAAGCTACCTGCTCTTGTTTATTTTGACAATACAAAAATATTTTTATGGTGCTGATAATTCACAGGAATCCTGTTGTTCAAATAAAATCCCAGTGTTGTCTGTGTTGTATGTAAAAATTCAAACTCACTGTGGTGTGGACCTAAAGTACTTCTTGTTATGAGTGGATGTCTTTTGTGCTAGTACTTGAGAGTTAGTGCTAATTTCCATTAATTTCCAACTCTTGCTGTGGCCCTTTTACCACACTGTATGATAGTCGTTCTGATAGTCAGGATGTTCTGATAATCAGGAATGGCTGTGGTATGCAAGGGACTGTACAGGAGGACAGAATGGAAGGCCCCACTATGTATGTCTGTGTTGTGTGTAGAACTGCAGGCAAAACTAACAGAGGCACCATGTCTTTGCTCATTATTGGATATCTGCAGGATGGAACCAACAGGAGTTCTCCCCACCTCATATTCCTAGTTTAATAATTATTTTTATGCACGGAAACACATTGCATTATAATGATGCATGTCTCAGTGCAATTTTGATTCTCGCCCTGGAAAAATGCCTGTGGATGTTCTTGCTTCTCTCTTTACATTTCCCTATGTATGCTGCTCCTCACGGACAAGTGAGCAAACAGAACTGCTTTCAGGTTGTAGTAGCAAGCTGAGAAGTCTAGTGCAGAATGTTTTGCATCTCTCCTGAGTTCTCAAAGCTAGGAGAGACCATTATTTTAGTGCTTGAGTTGATGAAGATCTGTGAAGGGGTCTAATGTGTAATTCTGATCATCAGAGGAAATTAAGGGCTCAAGCCCATAATGAATTGAAGAGATCTTGGATTTTGTTGAATCAAAGATAAATTAAATGATACTGAGTCAGATCCACACTGCTAGCTAAGCTGAAGTACTTGGAGTACAGCCCATTTGGTTCCATTCACACGACTGGACTAAATCAGCAAAAACTCCATGTACTTCAGCTGATTGCAGAACAGCTTATACTTATTCCTTAACTGTACCATTCCTTGTTATTCCCCCCGCCCGCCCCTGTAGATGCTCATAATGGGGAATAGATGTGAGAATGTTTCCACTGCACAAGGTATGCCAGAGATTTCCAAGACAGATACAAAATTAATGACGCAAAAAGCAAAGCAAAGCGTGCTGCTTATATACCGCCCCATAGCACTTCAAGCACTCTCTGGACGGCTTGCAAGTTAATTATGCAGGCTACACATCCCCCGCCCCCAGCAAGCTGGGTACTCATTTTACCGACCTCGGAAGTATAGAAGGCTGAGTCAACCCTGAGCCGCTACCTGGGATTGAATGCCAGGTCATGAGCACAGTTTTGGCTGCAGTACAGCGGTTTAACCACTGCACCACGAGGCCTTCTGTGGGCAATAACTTTGTATAATGTTTGAATAATACTGTATAGCATATGAGTGGGACCCACAAAAATGCTGCAGCATATCTAGCCAGCCTTCCTGTCCTTCAGGATTCCATAAGCTGGAAGGTGCCCAAGCAGGCCAGTTTCTATTACCTTTTCGATACACATTTTCTGCTTTAAGCTCCCAAGTGAAATTCATAATTCTGAGATGCCTTGTCGTCGTCATTTAGTCATGTCCGACTCTTCGTGACCCCATGAACCAGAGCACGCCAGGCCCTCCTATCCTCCACTGCCTGCCATAGTTGTGTCAATTTCATGTTGGTTGCTTCGCCCACACTGTCCAGCCATCTCATCCTCTGTCATCCCCTTCTCGTCTTGCCGTCACACTTTCCTAACATCAAGGTCTTTTCCAAGGAGTCTTCCCTTCTCATGAGATGGCCAAAGTACTAGAGCCTCAGCTTTAGGATCTGTCCTTCCAGTGAGCACTCAGGGTTGATTTCCTTTAGAATTGATAGGTTTGTTCTCCTTGCAGTCCAGGGGACTCTCAAGAACCTCCTCCAACACCACAATGCCTAGAACAGATCAATTCCTCTTTGGACTGGCTGAGGGCAGTGAGGTCCTCTTCAAGTTTTCTGTTAAAGTTTTATACTTACATTAACTTGAAAATTCACCCAGGCATGCTGTGTCTCCCTCTGCCTTGTCATGTTTTCATTCCAATCCTGTAGGTGCTCAACCAACTCCTTTGGCTGTTAAAAGGAATGATAAGCATGTGTATTCAAAGCTGGGGTTATAGCTCTGAACTAGCACCTTTCTCATTTCTGAAACCATGTGTGTATGCATGCATGCATGCATACAGCGTAAAGGGTGATGGCTGTACAGAGAACCTGTCTAATGCATCTCTTTTAAAAGTCCATGCAACAACAAAGCAGCAAATTGTTTCATTTTGCACAGCTGCACAAAAGACAATTTCACAAAGGAACAAATTCTCTCCAAGTACTATTTTTTAAGAAACAAAAATATCCTTTTTAGTGCAAGATGACATGAATGTGTAATTTCCCATTTCTCATGCAAGGATAGACTAGGGCAAAATTTATATCCCTATTTTGGACTCAGGCAGTTAAATTTGCAACATATGTGTCTGTAAACCTGAGAATATGTGCATTGTTATCATCCAAGGAATCTTGTTAGGCTTAAATCAAATAAATAAACAATCCTGTGCTGGTCTGTAGGCTCTGACTAGTACTGTAACTGCTTCTGGGGAAAGGAAGAAAATTATATTTGTATCCTTGTCCATAAATAACTCCCACTAATGGATAGACAAGTCATACACTAGAAGGGATTTGGAAAGTGTTAGAGTGTTTAGTTGTTTCAGATGCCACTGCCAGAATATTGACTGTGCTGGTCCAGATGGAACATGTAGCTCTGGTTCTTTTCCCCTCCCTTGACCAACCCATTGTTTCTGAACCATGTTGAGAGAGCTACTTTGTGGCATATCTCTATATGGCTTTGGGTTTAAGGACTGCTGTCTCTCCAGTATTCCATCTAACAAACTCTGGACAACATTACTCCATGTTTTTGCAGCCTGATGAAGTTCTACTGAAATGCCTTCTCAGTTCTAGTACTTTTAATCTGGAACATCAGGCAAAAGCAAAAGAAAAATTTAAAAGGACTAATACAGCTACCTTTTCTGAAAATTAATCTGGAATGTTCTTTTCTACGGAAGCTCACCTCACTCTATTATTGCTTTGCTTTCCCCACATTATAAAAACATGGCTTGTACAGAGCGTCTCACGAAATTGTGTAATTTGCTGATTATTAAGTGTGTGTTGTGTAATTTGCTGATTATTAAGTGTATGTGCTGTCTTGTGCTAGTGTTGTTGTTTGTTGCATTTCTTTAAAACTCCCCTTGGATTCTTTTTGTAAGAAAATGCAACATATAAATATTTCACTAAATGATGCATATTTGGAAAAACTGCTTGAATACATTGATCATAAATCCACTGGGAGAATCTCTTAAGCATTCGCTAGTGAATTGAACATACTGTAAATTGTAGAACTGGATTGCATCAATGATCAGAACTTAGATAAATACCTACAAGCTTTAATATTATCTTTCTTTAATTCTTTTTAATGCTATAATAATTTATGGTTCTTAGCATTTAATGCTGTTGCTTATAAGTACTGTGTAAGCTGCCTTGGGTCTTTTTCAGGATCCTCTTTAAATATTTTGAATCGGTAAAATAAAAATAGATAAATACTGTAATGATTTACAGGAGTCAAGTTATCATCACCAAAATCCTATTTTTGTACGAACTTTTATCTGTTTACTTTAATCTATAAAGAATGAATTTGCTGACACATTAATTTGTTTAGTGAATTTGTATTTTCACAGAGGAATCACTTATTAATCTTTCAGGGCAGGATCTAGAATTCTGCTTAATTCTGCTGCTTCCGCCAGTGGAATCAAGAAGGAGAAATTCTCTTCCCTCCAGAAGTCACCTATCCATCTGAAAAACATATTTTTTGGGGGCAGGGAAATCCTTCAGGGCAGGTTTTTTGGTGCCACAGGAAGGGGAGATGCAGAAAGTCTTGGTTAAACTGGAGGAGACATAGAAGTACATTGTTGGATCCTGGCTTCAATATGTGGTTGAATATATTTCATACTAGACGTGCTTTCCCCATTTCTATTCAAATTAATTGTTTGATTTTTTCAGGTTATCACAATTGGTAAACATGTAAAGGGATACCACTATATCATTGCAAATTTGGTAAGTTAATTTTATACTTAAATAACTATTTTGTGGGGGAGGGGAAGTGTTATGATCTAGTAAAACATGGAAATTTTCTGTTTAGAAAACATGTCAGAGAGCCATTCAAGGATATGTGGAGCTTGTATCCCGCAATCATGCCTCATATGACACCATCAGCCCCTTTGTTCTGATACATGAACTTTTCCCCTTTGTTTTTCTCATTTACTTCCTAACCCTTTCTCCTACATTCTCTTGTGTCCTACTTACCATAATTGTGTCTCGCCTTTATCCTTGACATGTTTGGTGATGAACATGAAGAGAAGGAGTATAGGAATATCCCTGCTAGCCATCCCCTTGATCTCACATACCTCTCTGCCCCTCAGCATAACATCTGTACATTTATTGGAATCTCTGCAAAGAGATGTCTATACCTTTAGTCATACTGTGGTAGGAAATGGTAATATTGGAATTAGCTATTTATTCAGGTATCCTGGTTGTATCGTCTGCCTTCATACTTGGGCACCTATTTGCATGCATTCCGCTCAAGGCATGGAAGTTTGGAGGACATTACCAATTCTATAGAGTAAATAGGGATTAACTACTGCCTTTAACAAAATGGATTAACAACTCATATTTCACTTCTCCATCCATCTCAATTACTTAATTTCTAAATGTCAAATTAGATAAGATAACTACAAAGCAATTTCCCCTCCAGGGTTGTAATTTGTTCAGAACTGAGCAGTCATATTAGCAAGTGAAGCCCATGTTTGCCTTCCAATGACCAATCCCCAAAAAGCAAGCTAATTTTCAAAATGAGGAAAGCTCAGCCGAAGATAAACAGACATAATTTACCTCTAAAGGTAACTTATTTTTCAATTATGTCCTAACAGTGTCATATAATCTAATCCTAACATTCACATTTGCTCTCTTTCTGTAGATTCCATGTGGCTTCTTCTTCTTCTTTTGCAGTTTGATATATCTATTACTTCTACCCTTTTCCACCCTTTGACTGCCTTCTCCATGACTACTTCACAAACACACACATTGCTCATAGGCTGTAATTGTAAAGAGACAGATTTGGAGGAGAATTACCACTCTTTTGCACCCCCTTGTAGAAGGGATACAGGGCATGTGGCCCTTCATGTGTTGTTGGACAGCAATTCCCATCATCCTTCGCCATTGAATGTGCTGGCTGGGGCTGCTTGGAATTAGGCTATGAGACATATTGCTTGCTCTGTAATAGTAAGTGTTATGTCATGGGGAAAAAAGATTAATTGTGGTTAGTTTGAACTATGATCCATTTTAAGAAACCAAGATGAGAGAGTGGTTTCTGACCATTTCTTGAGTTATCATAGTTTTCACTATTCATAGTTTGTCTTTTCAGATACGATGAGCAACTTTTAATATCCATGGATGATGGCTTTTTTAGCTTTTCTAAGTCTTCTTTTTAAAGTTTAAAATGTTTTAATTACTTAATGGATTTTTTTATTATTGTCTTAATTCAATTGCTTTTTAGTCCATAATTTATTTTGTGTTTTTTTTTAACTTGGTCCAACATCATGAGCTGCCTTTGGTCCCCTTACTAGAAGAAAGGCAGCCTACAAATGATATAAAAAATAGATAAACTGTGGTAAAGCAAAAAGTAGATGTTTCCAGTTACCTCCTAGTTGCTGTATTGGAGAGCAAAGGTGTGCACCTTAATGCAAATTTGTTAATACTCTCAATCCTGATTTATCTTTATGTCTGCAATAGTCCAGATGCTTTATAGATATTTAACACAACAGAATTATGCAAAATGGACCAGATATCTGAAGATAATACTACTGATTTCAGTGACCAAGATCCAAAGGTCATATACATATGAGGAGACCTTAGGCCTTTCTTCCCACTGACCTTCTCCCCAGTCCAACAAGAGATTCAGGGTCTCTCTAATTGACATAGTCCACATTTGTTTAAGCACATACACATAACTGGTAGACAATATATTATTTTTGCATTCACTTCTGCTCCAGAAAAAAGTTGGAGCAAAAAATATTGTTTTATACTTTAAAAGGCAAATGTGTGTGTTAACTCAGCTTATTTCTCTGTGTGGTCTTACTAACATGTAACTGAAAAGTTGGTCAACTTGTTGGCTGACCTCCGTTTCCCATGCCTAGGGATTTAATGATGGAGACTTATCAAAAATACAGTTTGGAGGTGCCAATGTATCAGGATTTCAGATAGTGGACTATGATGATCCCCTGGTATCAAAATTTATACAGCGCTGGTCAACACTGGAGGAAAAAGAATATCCAGGAGCGCACACTAGTACAATCAAGGTACATTGTTCTTCTTACACACGTGGAAAACTGTACACTGGAGAATGGATGCAGTTCTGCTTTGTGTTATTGTTATAAATTCTAGTGGAGGAGACGTATTAATTTATTTTGCCAAAAAAAAAAAATCCATAGTCCTATGGCACTCTGAAGACTTAATGCTATTGCAGCATGTGTTTTCACAAATGAGCCTTCCTCCTTCATCAGATATATAAAGTGTTATCCTCACCTGATGTATTTAAAGGGCAACAGTAGTTCCACCATATTTCTGTTCGAGTAGAAACGTTCACAGATAAAAATGGTGGAAAGAAAACTACCTAAATGAAGAATTGTGGAGACTGGATCTTGGGCGCATCATGACAACTTTGATTAGAGTTGCCGCATCCACAAAGTAGTCATTAGGATTTGGTAGGAGAAGAACGGGAAGAGAGAGAAAAAAGTTAATCACTGGCAATTGAATAATGGTCCTAAGAGTAATTTGCAAGTTATTTGGAGCAGAGGAGGTTAGGATGTGAAGTGACATGTATATAACTAAAAATAGAGAATGTAGCAATAAAAGTCAATGCTGTGACAAGGATTTAGTGATTTAAAGGGGAAAGGGAGAAGAGAATGACCTGTGATATTAATTAGCTGTGGTAATAAAATCTTACTTAGGCTGCTTTTAAAGATGCTGTTTTGTGCAGTATCGTATGACATTTGTTCAAGAAAGAAATAATTTGCATAATACTATTTGCCAAGGGTATGATAATGTCTATCATATTATAGAAATAATATGGTAATATGTCAAATTACTGTTACTGGCCAAAATCCTGTTGCACAGCTCCATGTGTGCAATGATGATGATATCAGCAGCAGTGGCAAATAACTGCTGATTAAAGGTTGCCTTTGGCAATTTCAGGATGCACACAACATTGTTACGTTGTGTACACGTTACATCTATCCCGGAATTGTCTCTAATCAGTAGTGAATTGTCACTGATGATGATACCATCATCATTGCACACTTGGAGCTACATGGATTTCCACTATTGTACGGTAAAATTGTTGTATTACCATATTCTGATAGCATAAGTGTAGTTTGGTTACAATTTTATGTGTACAGTATTTAAAATATTTATTCTTTTCACTTCACCTCTGTTTTGACGAAGGCATTTGTAACATAGCCTAACAATAGTAAATGTCCATAGCAATTTGAAGTGCATGAGCAGAGTTTGAAAACAATTGTGTTGTAGTGAATGTGTTACTTGTGTTTTCTAGTTTATTTCATTCTTCTGGTTATCTGAAGGTGACATTTATTCAAAGTACTATGTAAGGCAACATTTACTTTGTCAGTGTCATGCCTTGTTCAATCAAAAACAAAATACCAGAAACAAATATATATACTAAAGAACTGCTTGTGAAATAGTTCAAGTGTGTGAGAGAGGGCAAGGCCAAACGCTGTTCCTTCTTAGTTCTTCCTTCCATGAGCTTAACTTTCTCTCCTGGTAGCCCAGGTGTAAAGATGCCAAAATAGAGCAACTGTTGTGCTCATTCTGGGGTGAGGAGGAAGTGGCTGCTCGGAATCACAGCAAAACGTTAGATTAAGTGTTTGAACTGGAAATAGTTTGCTCTTCGTACTGCAGGCCCCAAGCATTCCTTCTTACCCCCTATAAAGTATCTGAAGATGAAGAGAAAAGTACGAGGGTGAAGTAGGTAGGTTGGGTGTGGTGAAGATAGGAAGCTGGAGGAGGTGTGTGTTTTTTTCTGTGTCTTCTCAGATGAGGTACATAAGAGAAAGGAAAGTTGGGTCCCTAGATGAAGTGGATTTCAATTCCAACAGCATTTCACCTGTTTGTTTGTTTCCCTCCTTTCTTCAGGAATATATTCTCTTTATTTTGTATTGGGAAAAATGGAACATAAAGGAGAAATAGTAAAGTATTATGGGAGTTGTAGTTCAAAAGGTACAGAGAGTTAAAGATTCTCTACCCCATCTAGATGTTCCTGAGTGGTAAGAGGATACGGAGAACTCTCTTTCTTCCTAAGCCAGCCAGATGTCCAGCACAGTGATGATGTTCATGGTTTACATAAGGGACTGTTCCTCCCATTTCCACATCAGCTGTAGCTCCTTCCATCTTTTCATCTTAGAATAGACTGTTATCCATTTGTTTCTCTTTGGGATTTTGGAGAAACTGCAGGGAGGCATTTCACGCTCATCTAGAAAAGGAAAGAGTTTGCATGCGAAATGATTTGGAGAGGGAGGCTGACAAACTGCAGGGAAGCTTCTTACATTCCCCCACACATGATTCTTCTTTTGTTTTGTTTTTTCATTTGCAAGTGACCTTTGAAAGTTGCCAACTTTCCTAGTGGCGTTCCAGTGGCTTTAGCTGTTTGTCATCCACAGTTACTGCTGCCTCTGCCACTGCTACTGTGCTCTGACTGCCACCATTCTTTCTCCCTGTAGTGCAATGTCTATTTGCCTTGCTTATGCACAGCAAGAATTTCAGAAGGTTGGTCCGTGTATAAGAAAACATAATCCTTATCATGTAAAAGGATTATCTAAGCATGCAAAGGGAACCAGTATGGTATAGTGGATAGAATGATGAAGTAGAATTCAGAAGACCTGGGGCCAAATGCCAACTTGGCCACGAAAACCCACTGAATAGTGACACCAGTAGAACTACTTTTTAATTATCTTGCATATCTTAAACACCCTGTTAATATCTCCATAGTTCAGATGTGACCTGATTGGCACATGACTCATAGGGGCAACCAAAGGAGCATTATAGCCCCGTCTGGTCCATCATCACTTTAACCATGTGAAAAGCAACAGGTATAACACAGAGAACCTCCTGTGTATGCAGAGGCTCGCCATGCTCTTTTCAACCTCGATTCTTCAGGGTACTGGTGGTGGATGGCAATTCATATTTGAGAATAACACAATTCTCAGCTGATTTGTATTTTTTTTTCCTTTCTGGTTGTAAACATGTTTACTGAGAACTCATCTCCCTGGCTTATAAGAACTCTTTCTGTTAAGTTCTGTTTCTACCTTTGTCATATGAAGAGCAAATTCTTTTTAGTGTATGTGTGAAAGGAATTTAGTATAACGTTATTCACTGCAGGGCAGATAGTTTATTGCACCAAATACCAAAGAAAAAGGCCACAGCTGTCTGACATAAGTAGAAAGTTTGGTCCTCCAATAAAAGTGAATCAGGAATAAATTGTTTCTAAAGAAAGGAGAGGGGAAAAAAGAGGCCACATCTCCTTCCTCCAACTAATCTATCCTCCTCCTAAAACTCTGAATCATACCATTAACTCTGGCCTATATATACAAAAGCTTAATTCTGTGTCTCTGCATAACTATGTGGGTGTACGCCTATGAGTACCACAGATTTTGCTATCTCTTAGCTTGCAAGAACGTTTCTCCTTTATATGCCATTTTTTCCCAATACAAAATAAAGAGAACACACTCCTGAAGAAAGGAGGGAAAGAAACAAACAGGTGAAATGCTGAGAGACACCCAAATAAATGTCCACAACGTCTTTGAAGAATTTAAGAGTTATTTTGTACTAGCTCACATGGAGAACCTTTGCAGGTAGCGGAAGTTCTCCTTTCCAGACTCTTTGCTTTTCACCTGATTGAAGAGACAAGGGGAAAAGTATGCTCCCTACTAGCCTTTCTAGGTAGCCCCCTTATGGAATGTCTGAGTGGGGTGGCAGAGGTGCAAGATATCTTAGTTGGAGAGATGAATTAAACTGCCTTTTAGTTCTGCTTTCCCAGGGCATTGAATTCTGCACAGATGACTATCAGATAACAAATTCAATCTGGGCAATAAAATCTTGTGATATCCTGGGGAATTGGCAAAGGAAGAACAACCTTAGGTTAATTCTAGTCTTGGGATATACATATTAAATTTAAGCCTTTGTTCTTGTTTAGCAGTTAGTGTATACAATGTATACTGTACGTTGATTGTCACTGAGATGTGGAGTGCCCCCCCAGACATTGGGATGGGAAGTCCCCCCACTCAGTGCACAAGCCACCCACTCTGAATTTTAAATGTAGAAGAAGGTGTTGTAATACACTACACATTTTCTAAAGGTCATGGTCATGAAGCATACTTTAAAAAAACTCACTGCTTTGTAATTAATATTAGCTAGGCGTACGGTTCATAAACCATTTTATATTTGCCTCAGGACTGCAGTTATTTCAGGCTGCATATAAATGATTACAGTAGCAGCAGGAAAAATTGCCTATCTCAGCGGTGTGCTCTAGCATAATTTAGTTAGTGACTAGTCTCTGAGCAAGCATTGCTAAATCATTCCAACAGGAAATTAAATTTGGAGAATTTTGATCTATACTCCCTATATGATCAATGAATACTTGATCAAGAGAGAAGGGCAGATGGTGGCAGTAAATGTGTCTGAGCACTTTGATCCATTTGCATTATAGTATGAGCTTTTAATGCTTCTCTGGAAAGTAAAGGAAATCGCTTGGAATGAAGAGTATATCATTATGTGTGGTAATTGCTGAGATATTCCTGGTCAAGCTGGGGGAAGTGCCATACAAGTGAGATGAACCATGAGCATTACTGTTTGGGGTTGCTATTCAGTATAGTTATAGCTGAACAGAAGTTTTTCTATTGGATAGTCAATTAGGGGCAGAGGCTTTGGTTCTTGTAGAAATTTTAAACAATAAAAACAAAAGTCTTGTGTATGCATGCACATGCATGTACTTGTTGCATTGTTTCAGTAGAATCCATTGGCAGATCCAGTGGTCAACTTCCCAATACCTCCATATCCAGTAACACTTCTGGCATTTTTTACACATACTCTTGTCACTGCAATCTTCCAAAAACCTGCTCCAGATTTCTAGATAATATTTTTATGGTAGCTAAGGGTCTGCAAGAAGGAAAGAAACTGCCAACTCTGATGGAAGTGATGGTATTCAGAAGAATTATGCCACTGAATCCTTATTACAAAAGAAAATGTGGGCAGAAACATGGCAGCACACTATCACAATAGAATGTTC